CACACACAACAAACAATACACATAACGTTTTACATTTGTAAAGAAGATAAAATAAAAAAATATTTATTTAAGAAAGAATACAGCGAATAAGACTAGGCTTTTTTTGTGCGGTAGTAGTGTTGAATCACAATCTCGTTGCCTTTTTCACCTCACATAGTTACATATTATACGTTGTGGTGAAAACCCAAGTAAATAAATTGAGCCCCTGAAAGTATGCTTTAATATTTAGTATTTATATCGAAATAAAAACGAATGTAAAGAAGGTTGCCATTTGTTTGTCTTTCATTGAAGAAATATTTGAATTTTCAAGAGGGGTCATTTACAATTTAATGGCATATGGATAAATAATACCACTTTATCGATTATATAGATGTCCAGAAGAGGAATAAAGGAGGAATATATAAATGTCTTACATGCATACAAATGGGATATTTAGAATTTAAAAACGTTCGAGGATGGTGTCCTTTATGAAAATGCGAATGAAGAAATTTGTTGACTGAGAAAATTACAATCTTCGTGACGTGTCAGTGCATGATTTTTAATCAACTTGTGGTGTGGCAGACAAAACTGAAATAGGCAACGGCCATGTTAACATTTGGTCTGTTCCTGTACTGTAAGAATCTACTACTTTATACTACGATAACACTTTTTTCTTTATGATATCGAACAAAATAGTAAAAACTAGTTGATTCATGCAGTACGGGAACAAACCAATTAACACTGTAAACTAGGAATAAATAAATCGACTTTTTGTATTGAAAAGTCCAAAAATCGACTTTTGATCTTTGAGAAAATCGCAAAGTCGATTTTTCAAGACCAACTTTCGATTTTCTTCATAAATAACAAAACTCAAATTGCTCAAAAATTACACATTCCAGAACTTTATATTATCTGTTGACAACAATTCCTAAAAATCAATTTTTTTTCGATTTTGCATTAGCCGGTGAAAGTCGAAAATTGATTTTGAACAGGTTTGACAAAATTTCCCGAAAAATATACTAAAGATAACGAATTTTTTTATGATATCAAAGGCAAAAATCGAAAGGTTAAAAATCGAAAAGTCTTTTTTAGTCAAAGGCAAAATTTAAAATATCAACATTTTTTTTGCCTATAAAATAAAAAGTGAACGGCTACTGTAAATTACTGATTAAATATCAACATTGTCAACAAAACCAGATAATTTCATTTTTACTGATCATATTGGAAAGGAATAAACGGACAAATTCTGTCAAGAGTTCAGATGCTATGGGAAGGTGGGTGGAGTTTTCAAGTTTACCACATTCGACACCATAAAGTTTAAAGGTAGTAAATCTATGGTCGAGTTCGGTTCACTAAGCACCTAATTAATTATGGGTAATGTAGCCGTTGATTCCTATTTAGAAACATGTTATTAGAAGGTTATTGAATGACACAAAATCTGCGGAAAACAGGGCATTTTATATTTAATCATCAGATTGGAAAGGTTAAAAACATATATAAGCCAATGTATAGTAAACATTTTCGAACACAGGGAGCTCATGATATCGAGATTAGCAACTATGACAAGGGGGTGTTTTCAATGTTGTCGTTGACAAGTCAGCCTCCTATTGACACATATTTGATGGGAAGGGTATAGGAAGACACGAAAAACAAGTAAAGAAAGTGTCAGTCGGTGTTGCCGGCATATATTTACCCTCAGCCTATGGGTAGGTCTTCGGATTTATTCACATGTTTTATTATTCGCTTTATATAAAATATAGATTTCATCAAAAAGGTTTCGGGTTTAATGTACATATACTTTGTGGGGGATGTACCAGAAGCAGTGGCCCAATGAGTCCCATCTTCAAACTTTATCTGCACTTAGTAAAGATAATAGGTTGTGAAATTTTTGATTCAAATCGGACATTCCATTCTTCTAATATTGGGTTTGTAAATATTGAAAATTTTGATCATTTGGTGGGGAGGTACCAGAAGGAGTGGAACAATGGATCCCATCTTTGGACTTGATATAGACTTGGTAAAAATAATATACTGTACAAAGTATGGTTCAAATAGGATAGTCGCATGATATTGCAAAATTAATTTTCAGCAAAATTTTGGCCATTTTGTGTGGGAAGCACAGGAAGAAGTGGACCGATATTCCATATCTTCGAACTTGAACTAAGTTTGGATCAAATATTAAGATGTGCAAAGCAGACAGACAGACTCCAAACTGTCTAAAACGGATTAAATAAAAAAATCTACTTGAGCCCGGCATGGATTTGAACCCTGGTTCCTATGGCATCTCTTAATTGTTGTCCGGCGACTTATCGTTCAAAGCCACCTCCTTATCTGGATACGGTTGCACAATATACAATCTTAAACAACGGCGAAACCCTTCGCATAATGGTGGGAATGTTGTATACCTCCCTAGCTTTCCTTTTAATTGCAACTTCGATCATGTAGCTCATCTCGAAAAAGAAATAAATAAAAAAACATTTACATGAATGATCTTTCACTCTAAAAGGCCTAAAACTCGAAAAAAATATTTAGATGAGGCACATTTTTATGGTTTCAAAGTGTACCCTCATTAGCCGTAAGGCTGCGGGTATATAAAGTCAAGATAACAATAACAGAATAATTCGGTTCCTTTGAACCTTTATGTGTTTGCAATATGAGCGTTTTTCCTGGATCTATATTAATAGGATCACTACAGAAATATTGCAATTCTGAAAGGACCGGAAACCTCTCTCAAAAAACCGAAACATTTACATGAATGATCTTTCGCTCTAAAAGGTCTAAAAATATTTAGGTGACAATTTTATGTGACCTATAACCACTTGGTTATATTATTTATTCTGAAATAAATTAATAACTTTATGAAAGTAATACAAATTTCAAATAATCTAAAAACGGATTACAATTATATAATAATTTGTGCCAATTTTTTTAAAATGACCACTAAAACCACATATGAATCACAAAACTAACAACATTTCATCTAAAAACCATCATCTATCATTCAAATCAACAGCTTTCATTCGGCCGCAAATAAAAAACTGTCATTGAAAATAATTATAAAAAATCTAAACATGGTAATGGTATTTGAATAATTGAAAAAAACGTAACACCAAATACCACAAAACTACTAGGCAGTGGGTGGGTTGCAAAATAATAAATGAATTGTAATTATTTTAAAAATACAGTGAGTGTAATAAGTATTTTGCCTCAATAAAAATTTTACAAAATTCTAATATATACGCTTAAAGCCAGCATACTAAAGATGTAAAATGAATTATGTATGATGGGATATGTTTGTGGACATATTTAGATCTTATTTCTGCAAGAATCACTGCGAAAGACCTATTGGTCTCGAAGATATCGGCAAAAATCTATACCAACCCAAAAATGATTATCACAAAAAAGTATTTTGCTTTTTATTATCATTTTTGAAAAAATCATTGTATAATACACGCTTTGTCTTTTTATCGTTACCATTGCGGGTAACCACATACTAAAAGCGATTAGGCGACGATTCCAATAAACCACGGCATTTTTTCGCGAATATTTTCTCACATTTACGTTCAATACATTCTCCAGCATTTTTTCATTTAATATATGGTAATTTCTCGTCCTAATCTCAAAATGATAGTATTATATATGGTCGTCGCGGCTTCAAAACATCCCAAATAACTTTAGAATAATAAAAAGGAGGTTTTGCAAAATATATCGCGAGGACAGGACCCTAAAAACTATTAAAACCAAAATTCGACAAACAAATTATTTAAAAAAAAATATCGCGAAACCCCATTTTTCTGACTTTGTAAACTTTATGGTTCATTAATATTGATCTACGTACCAATATATGCGATGAAAATATCAATAAGGTGGTCAGATTCAAAGAAATGAACAGTTCTAAAACAACAGAAACTACAAGCATTACATGAAGTTGGGAGAAAACATCATTCTTCGTCAAATAGTATTGCGTTTTAGAAAACTGTGGTAGCTGGTGACGAATACGCAGTCAATATTTTACATCCGTTTAACACCATCAGTTGCGAATAAAATGCATCAGTGAATAAACTGGTCGATCTATTTATTTTCGAAATTTGCTGTATTTCTATTGCCACAAAACCGTTCATATCTTAGAATCTGACCTTCTTATTGCTATTTTCATCGCATATATTGGTTCCAAGATCAATATTAATGGACCATAAAGTTTTCAAAGTCTGAAAAATGGGATTTCGCGATATTTTTTTAATAATTTGTTTGTCGGATTTTGGTTTTAATAGTTTTTAGGGCCCTGTCCTCGCGATATATTTTGCAAAACCTCTTTTTTATTATTCTAAAGTTATTTGGGATGTTTTGAAGCCGCGACGACCATATCTAATACTCTCATTTTGAGATTAGGACGAGAAATTACCATATATTAAATGAAAAATTGCTAGAGAATGTATTGAACGTAAATTATGAGAAAATATTCGCGCAAAAATGCCGTGGTTTATTGGAATCGTCGCCTAATCGCTTTTAGTGTGTGGTTACCCGCAATGGTAACTATAAAAATACAATGCTTGTGATATATAATGATTTTTTCAAAAATGATAATAAAAAGCAAAATACTTTTTTGTGATAATCATTTTTGGGATGGTATAGATTTTGGCCGATATCTTCGAGACCAATAGGTCTTTCGCAGTGATTCTTGCAGAAATAAGATCTAAATATGTCTACAAACATATCCTAGCATACATAATTCATTTTACATCTTTAGTATGATGGCTTTAGGCGTATATATTAGAAATTTGTCAAATTTGTATTGAGGCAAAATACTTATTACACTCACTGTATGACAAAGAAATTTCAAAAAAAAAAGAGAAACAACAACAGCTTTCTGTTCACTATTTGCGATGACAATTAAAACAATAAACCAAGCTCATCTTGAAGCTCAAAAATTGTGCAAATGAATTTGAGTGAATGTAAATAAGTGTGTAGGTGGGTGAGGAGATGAGAAATTTGTTTTCATATAACAATAAATATGTACTTACACATTGGATCTGGGTGTGGGTACTGGGGTACGCCGTATCTGCGACGCTGTCAACGAAGAGCGCCGCAATTGTGCTTGAGCTAGCGCACTCGAACTATTCTCCTCCTCATCTTCATCTTCACTGCCGAAGGGATTTTTCGAAATACGTGGTGGAGGTGGCCTTGGTGGTGGCACTTTGGGTGTTGACGTCGATGTGTTTTGAGACTTTTCCAATTCTATTTCATCATCCGAAGAATCGAATGGATTTAAACTGATATTTTGTTTGGTTGGTTTTCTAAGCTCAACATTTTCTTTATTTTGTTTCTCGTCGTCCTCATCATCTGATTTAAAGGGATTCAAATCTTCAGGATATTCTTCTAGGGGAATTTTACTTGGTGTGTGACTATCTTTAGTTGATAGTTCCGCAGTTGTAGTTTGTTGTTCTGTTTCTTCCTTTGGTGTTTCTTGGGAACTAATAGAGGTGGTAGTAGTAACATCTTGTTTTTCTTCTTTTGGTTGGTGTTCTTGTTGTTCTTCTTCTTTGTTTTCAATTGACTTTATCTTATCTTCTAAAATTTCATTGTCTTTTGTTTCCATCTTTAAAGGCACTTCGTCTTCTAGTTTTTCAGTTGGTATTTCTTTATTATTATCTTCTTGGATAGCTTCAATTTGTGGAACTACTTCGGCTTCTTCAGTGTCCATTTTTAAAGATTCCTCACGTGGAGCTGGTGTTGGTATCTTAGTTTCAATTTCCAATACCTTTTCTTCTGAGCGGCTTTGAGACTCATTTTCAATGGTTTCTGGTGATGTTATAGTTACAGTTTGGGAATTATTTTCTGGTTCTTGATCTGCTGGTTCCGGATCTTTTGTATTAGTTGTAGTAATTTTAATAGATTCTTTATCTTTTTCATTATTTGTAATTACTTCAAATTGTTGCAGGCGAGCACGAACTACACTGAGTCTCTGTGTGGTCTCCTTGTCCTCCGTAGTTAAATAAGGGACAGGTTCGCCAGCGCCTTCAGTTGGAGATTTTGTGCGTAATTCCACATCTTCACGATTTTCACTGGTTTCAAGTTCTTTCTCCACTGAAGACTCTCGAGACTTAGGACTGCTGATACTAGAAGACACCGGTTGGAGTGGTGTCTTCATCTCAGTTGTTGTTGCTGTTGTAGCTGTTTCTATTGTGCTCTCTAACTGCTGTGCAGCTTCGGTTGTCGTTTCCATAGCCACGATGGAAGCATCAACTGTTGCTTTGTCTTTGGTAACACAATCATTATCATTAGTTTCATTACAAGCTAAATTATTTTCTAATTCTATTTGCTGTATTGTCGTCGTCTCTTTTGTATCTGTTGATTTTGTTGCCATTATCGTTTCCGTGTTCTCAGTATGTTCCACATCATTATTGTTGGTCGTATCATTGGTTTTAGTCTTAGTGGAGGTTACACTAATTTCCAATTCATCCGCTAATGGTTGGATGGGTGTTGAGGTCCTTATAATATTCTCTTCTTGATCGGCATTTAGTTCTCTTGTGGTTGTTATTGTTACGTCTGAATTTGAACCCAATATCAATTGAGCTGATGCTGTAAAACGTTTGCTGGGTTCTTCTGGCTTTTTCTTTTCCTTTTCATCGTCCACCATAAATGAGGGTGGCAATGATTTTGGTAATTCCGGTGGCAATGACACCGATGTCAAATCATCAGTTTCCTCAGAATCGGATGTTTCCATTTTGGAATTTTGTATTGATGATGACAGCGATTCACTTTCATCTTCATCACGGTCTGGATCAGTTTCACCATCATCATCAGGTTCATTGTCAACAGTATCATTGAGAAAGTTCGACAAGGCGGAATTCATTTTATAACCACCCGACGAAGTGGATGGATTATCCGTTGCCTTCTTTTCCATTCTTTGCAATGATTTGGATTTTTCTTCATCGCTAAGACTTTTTTGCAAAAGTTTACTATCACGATCCAAGGGATCATGTTGTTGTTGCTGTTGTTGTTTTTCAAAGAATGCCAAACGATCTCGTATGGAACTGCGCACCGATCTGGCATTCGACGTTGTTGCTGCTGTTGCAAAATTTGATTCACCTTCTAACTGATTTCTTCTCATTTGTACTGGTGATGTTGCACGTTCTATGTTAGCTCCAGGATCTGTTGTGGTCTCCACGGCACCTCCACTAGCAGTGACAAAATCACCATTAGTAACTTCTTCATCGGGACAAGTTTCACAAACATATTGTTCATCAACTTCGGTTTCATAAAAACTTCCCGGAGTCAATTGCGAACCACAGCGGGCACATTTCAAACACGTTCGATGATAGACTTTTTTGCCTACCAACAAACGTTCAGCCAGAAATACGGGCAGCTGACACTTACGACAGGGATCGCGTCTGGGGACGCCAACCACATGGGCCATCTGCAAGGAGAAGGGGAAGAAAAAATGTTGATTAGTATTTGACATATACATATATATTTTTTTTAATTTGTAATATAAGTTAGTAAAATTTATTTAGAATAAAATGGGTATAAAATATTTTTAGTCAGTAGAGGAAATTGTTACTATTCTAAGATTTACAAGGCTAATGCAAGGTAAAATGTTGATTAGTATTTGACATTTTCATTATTTTTTTAATAAAAGTTAATAAAATTTAATAGTCAGTAAAGGAAATTGTTACTTTTCTAAAAACTACTATGTTGATTGGAAGGAATTTGGTGGGTTGTTATTTTACATTGAGAGCTGAATATATCCCTCTAAATTTTGAAGATTATTTTTTTTTGTTAATCGTTTCCGACAAATTGTTTGACAAATTGTTTGACAAATTATGCACTAATGTTGGTTAATTTGTGGAAAATATAAATTATGTGTTGTGGTTTATTTTTTGATTAGGATTAAATTCGATGACGAAGTTACAAACAATGGATGGGTACATTGGATCAGAGTAACTCTATAAGTCCAATTTGTGGTGATGGTCCTATCAAAATAAAAGCGATAAAGTATCGTAAAGGACAAAAAATTCTAAGCGTTACTGCTGCACAGAACCCCATAAATTCATTCTGATCCAAGTTTCTTACGTTCGTAACCCTCAATTTCAGTAGGAAATTTCTTGGAACTGTTCTGAGGTTTATCTTCACATATTATGGCTCACTACATTTAAGACAAATTGGACGTTATTATAAAAATATCTCCACAACAGTTACTCTTTTTCTTTTTCAATTTCAGTAGAACAATTTTGGAACTATCATGTTCTGAAGTTTATCTTCATGGGTTGGGTATTGTGGCTCAATAATTTTAAGTCAAATCGGTCAATATAATAAAAAATATGACTACAAGAGTTACGTATTTTCCTGCTAGCTGGCATTCTGCTGTTGCTGTCTATCCGGAAATACTCTTATGGAAGACCAATAAGTTTAGAACCACATATCAAACCCTTGGTCTACTCTTCAATTGTGTAAAAAGAGTATTTTTAGAAGTGCAATAGGTGTTTTATATAAGTATGAGTCAGAGTCCTTCCTTTTGAAGAGATCTTTCCACAGAAGACAAGGAGTCATTTTATGAAAGACCAATGTATCTTCTTAAAGAAAACTTAATGTTCTACATTTAGAAGACCATCAAGTCATTTTATAGCAGTAGGACAAAATACGAAAAGGTATTTTAATAGGTGCCCAAAACGTTTTGTTATAGAAGGTCGGTCAAGAGGTAGTTTTTTGCAAAAGCAAGTTATCTTTTTATTAAAGACTAATGGACCTTCTTATAAATTACCAAATAAGAACTAATATATAGGATCAAAGGGTCTTTAAAAAGAAAAGTGACAAATTTTCTTTTAGAAGATCTGAGATTTTGTTTAATAGACTAATAAGAACTTTTAATGGAAGTAAAAAAAAAAACAAAAAAGATTTTTGTAAAGAACTGAAAAGAATTATAAAAATATTAAACAGAGGCCCCAGATCCCTTCTTCGGGAAGAACATAAGGATTTTTTATAGAAGACAAAGAGAGCTACAATAGAAGAATTTTTTTAGAATACCATGCGTCACACTAAAAGTGTTCTGACATCCAAAACCCCACATAAAAAAATGTTTTAATCAAAAACAGATTTTTGTAAAAATATAATTTGTATTCTGAGAAAATTAAGTTTAATTTTATAAATAATAAGTTAATAGGACCCATACTTGTCTAAATCCAATATTCCGTATTATATATACGACTTTAAATGTTTGAGGCATACCTTATTAGAGGTAGAATCAAAGGTGGTTTGACAATATTCTGAAAAGATGTAGCCAGACCGTGAGTCATAATGACCGTATACTTTCCAAGAGTAATATTTTACTGCAGGAGAGTAAACTTTTTGTATAACCTATTAGTTCATAACCTATTAGTTTGAAAATTTACATGAAGGGTTATGGTTATGGATGATATTTATAGTCTTCGGTGGGGATTTGATGATATTTAGGATATGCAATGGACCAAAAACTTAATTAATTCTCGTTTTCTAGTCGCTCTATAGACTACAATTATTATCTGAACATCACAAATATTCCACGGGGAAGACAGTTTTGATAAATACCGCACAATATTGAGCAAATCAAATGAACCAAGACTTTTGTGTGTAAAATAACAAAATTAAAAAAAACATGACGAATAGATGCCAGCGTTAGAATTAGGAGCTATTGACCTATAATCGGTCAAGGGGGTGCAAATAGAGCGATATATTGCCCCGGCTAGGAATATAGATCCACTGAAAGTTAGTGTTCAGCGGTGGTTGTATAGGGTGGGTATCACTCGTTTTAAACTTACGAAGTCGGATCAAGGAAAAAACTTTTAAGATCATATCAAAGAATGAATCGTTTCAGTAACCATATTTTTCCCTAAAATTGGCAAGAATTAATGATATAGTGGGCAAAACCTTCACATTTGCCTCAACATGACATGTTTTTTTCTGTCTTGGCTGTTCTGGACGTTGCTATTGAGATGATTGGGCTTTACTTTCGATATCATAATTTTGGAAATTATGCACAGTCATTGTTATTACTGTAAGAGATCGATATCCCTTTTTGGTATAGCTATAATAAAGAGGCAACCTGGCAATTTTCGGTACTTTAAGAGGGTGTCCAATTTTCCAACCGAAGTTGCAGTAATTTGACTCTCCGATATATTAAAGGTTGTAAAAGTCATAAAATGTGCGATTTAAGTTATGTTTTTACATAGCCCCCATGGAAAGGTCCAGCTCAGTTTTTTACCATTATTCGCTGAGAAGACAATTTACAAAAAACATAGTCCTCATATAAAGCCCTGACCGATTTAAGGAATTTGGAAAATACCTCACATGGTATTGGATATAAATAGTAGAGTCCGGCCAAAAATAGCGCTTTTTGTACTTGCTTCATATGTTCGTCCGGGGAACTGGTTTACAACCAAATAATAGGACTGTTTACAAAATGTATGCGGGGTGTGTGAGAGGTAATTATATTTGTTCACGTCATATAATTTCTCTCTGAAAACTGAAATTGGCTAAAAGCAAATTGTTAACCTGGTTTTCTAACAAATACTGGAAATTTTTACAGATTTTCGTTTTTATCGATTTTAGTTCAGTTTTTAGATTCTCCATACATTGCAATGCTCGTGTCAGTGTGTTTATGTTGGTAATTATAGGTTAATCGCAGGATAAATGTTGTTGTTGTCGCTTTTTTTATTTCACAACTAACTACAATACCCGTATATAAAATGTTGGTGATTAAATGTCCCATAGTATTTTATTAAATGTCTGAGGGTATTACACAAATTTAGGTCAATGTCATTTTAGATATAATGACAGAACAACAACATATGCTAAATGTAAAAAACAAATGTGGTGTATACATTTAGGCTACACAATAAAAATGAGTGGGTATACTTTTAGGATTTAAGCTACATTAAGTGGGTATATACTTGTAGGATTAATCTATATGTTTAAAATCTAGATTTGAGGTGTAATCTGATGTTTGTGAGTAATCTGATGGTTGTAAATGTGTGTAGTGTGTGTGTGTGTTGTAAACATAAAAAGCATTAATGTATGAGTTCTAAAGCACAAATTCTATAATGATAAAGAACAAACAAAAATAAAGCCAATTGAAGAGAAGATAAGAAAATGGATGAGAGGGGTGGGGTACACATTGTAATGAGCAACTAAAAGAAAGAAACTAAAAAAGGACATGAAATGAATAAAGACATGTTAGTAAAAATTTTTCAATTTTTTTTCTTGAGAGTGAAAGGAATTTTTTCGGTGACTTACCTGTATATATTTTTTATAAAATTCTGCCAATTATTGATTCAAACATGGACACTGCTGATGATTGGTTGATACTCTTTTTTTTTCAAATAGTGATGATGGGGTAACGATAATGGCAAAGCTGTTTTTTGCAAATTGACATAGATAAGCGATGTTTTTGTTGTTGATTTTTTGTAACGTTGATTTTACAGGACAATAATACAGAGATTCTTATGACAAATACAAACAAATATTTGTTTTTTTCTAAATGAGATTTATATATAAATTGGGGGATTTCTTCTTCTTCTCGATTTACTTCTTTAACAAAAAACACAATAAACATGTATTTTTTTTTCTTAAATGGACTTAAAAAATTAAGCTTGCTTCTTCTTCTTCCGCGCTTTATAATTATATTGGTATATATGTATATGTATGCAAAAATAAATCCTTAAATTTTTAACGTGATGTATGAGATACTTTTTTGTTGTTGTTGATATTGTGGTAACTGCTGCAGCCTTGATGGAGGTTGGGGGCGAAGTTAATCAAATCAAACGGTAATGTAATCAATTACTTCCTTCGAGAGGCTCAAGATTCCAAAAAAGGATTTTTAATTTTTTTTGTTCGTTGATTTGGTTTTGTTCTTCTATTGGCAGTTATTTGTTGTAATAAAAATTTGTTCGATATCTTCTTCTGAGAAATTTCTTTTCTTTTGTTAACAAAAATTTACAAACAAACAAGACATGAGCGCTACGATGTTGACTGTTTGTATTATGATTAGCATAAAGTATTTGTATCAAATTTTTATTTATTTGTAGGTTGCTGTTGTTCTTGTGTGTGTATTTTTATTGTTTTTTTGTTCACTTCTGCTTCTTAATCGGCTTTCTTAACAGAAGATTTCAGGTTTATATTGGCCCATTATGTCCAGACTTTTATCATCCTATAGTTTTTAGAGACGGAGAGAAAAAAGAAAAGAAAATACAAAACATATATAGAGATATATTTCTTTATGCGATTTTGTTGTTGTTGTTATACCAAAACAAAAACCAAAAGGGTGGGATTAGTATTGAGTCTTCTTGGTTAGCTGAGGGGAAAATTAATTAACGAGGAGTGTTATTGGAAAATTAGTCTAGTGCTTCATCACATACGGTCATGATATGAAGAAGTAATAGGGGG